AGAGAGAGAGAGAGAGAGAGAGAGAGAGAGAGAGAAATGATAACAAAGTCCCTCTCTTAGCCTTTATCCAGTTCTTCGCCAGCATTCTGTACCTCTGGGCCTTGCATTTCCCGAAAGAATTTTGTGAGCCCGAATGCAGCATCTCCAAACTTGGCATAGTGCTGATGAGACACCGCAACACCAAAATGGCAGAAGGAGAACAGACACTCAGTCATGTAAAAATACAAAGAACTTGAAAGAAGAGAGATTATCCAGCCGCCCACGCAAAGGACAACAACCATAATCAGTACCAAATCCCTTTATAATAGTTTATATTATATATTACATGCATCTAATTTTTGAAGTTTGAAGTTCTTTCTGCAGCGTAGAATACTGAGGCACTCTTCAGATTCTTCCGGAAAGGCCTCGCATGGTGGAACACAATGCAACAACACCAACAAAACAAAGTGGCAAAAAGGGTCAGTTGGCTATATATATTGCCACATATCTGTGAACCTAAAGAGCGCATTTTGTGAAACAAATGGCAGTGCAAAATTTGAATTTAGCTGCATACATTTTGGCCGCAGAGTGACGTAAAATAGTGGGAAAATAGTAAAATATTTGTCACATATTGTGGCCAAACGGTAGTGCCGATACGGCGTCTGTTCTGTGCATGTCGGATCCACTCGTTCAATCCTCTTAGAATTTAGAATAGCATTAATCCTAATATATATATATATATATCGTCACAAACAGAACTGCCCGGTAAACCGTAGGCAGAGAGAGAGAAGAGGACAACAAACGAGGGGCTGTGACAAACTGTTTCGTCGGAGTTTCACCGACTCATCAGGAGGCTGAATATATATATAATATAAAAATTATGGACTCCTCAATACGGTTTGCACGCTTTGGCAACATTTCCCAAACATTTCACAATTTTTCCCTTCCCCTGTGTTATGCATTTACCCATTTTCCATTTATGCCCCAATAAATCCCAACTTTCCAAATTAGGCATGCTTAGGATCTTTTTCACTCTGTAGGTTTCCGACTGGACACAGGGAATTCAGGAATGACTTTAACAAGGGTGGCATGAAAGGCAACAAAACACCCTTCAAACCACCAGTAAGTCTGAGCCTCTTTTGTACGAGGCGGATTCCCCCTGCGCACCAAGCTTTGCGCCAAAATGCCAGCGCGGCGTTTTTGTTTCCATTTTGGCTGGCGCCGCCAGCCATTTTGGTCCGGTTGCCCCGAGCCTCAAAATTTTTCGGAGAGAGCCTCTCATTGATTCTCTAGTTGCCTGGCGCCATGTAATCTTCATGCCACCCTTGGGTGACACGTATACATCAAGCAACGGCCCAAAACAATATTAAAAAAAAGACAAAAGATTTGAAAAGAATCTCAGTCCATTCTCCTTCGGTTGTTGGTACGTTCTGTCATTGTAGCCCTGATTGATCCGCAGCAAGACGTAATTGAACCGCTGACCTCGGCCATAACAGCCAGATGCCTTTACCACTGCAACCGTGACCCGGTGTAGAGAAGTGAAGCCATACCGGCCACGACATTCAGCCCACAGCAGCACGGCTGCAGGAAGACACTTAACTCGTCAGCATTTGACATCCATGAGATCCTCCACAGGCGGCAGCATCCACGCGGAGACCATCATCCAGGTAACCTCTGTGGGCTGGTTACTGCGCTCCTGCACTGCTGGCAAGTTTTGTCCGCGCAGCCCTGATGCATCCCGGCAGGCAGATGGAATCGAGCCGGTGACCTCGGCCATAACAGCCAGATGCCTTTACCGCTGCAACCGTGACCCACTGTTGGAAACCGAAGCCATACCAGCATCCCACCCCAGCACTGTTGCAGCAAGGACTTACTCGTCAGCACTTGGCATCCATGAGATCCTCCGCAGACAAGAAGTGGTTTAAGCCTTGAAAAAGGAGAACGGACTGTGAGATATATATATCGTCAAACAGAGCTGCCCGGTAAACCGTAGGCAGAGAGGGAGAAGAGGACAACAAACGAGGGGCTGTGACAAACTGTTTCGTCGGAGTTTCGCCCACTCATCAGGAGGCTGAACCCTCAACAGTCTGCAGAATCCCCTAACTGATTACACTGTAAGTGATAATCCACCTTAACCCCGATATATATGTATATATAGATATATATATTTTAATTATTTTGAACCATTTCTTGATGTATGTGTGTCATCCTTGAGTGTGCAGGGGCCATGCTAATCTTCTCTGCATCGCTCCACTTTTAAGGGACGTTAAGAAAAGAGTATTCACAATTTCAGAGAAAAGGAAATTCAGACTTCCAGTTCTATTTCTTGAAATTTTCTCGACTGTCCCGACCGGCCCCCACTACATATCAGAAAACATTTCATTTGAGTAAAAAATTGTAAAATGTCAAAATGATAAATTCCCATGATGAACCAGAACACCTCTTCTCCAGATGGCATTCCGAGTCCATGCTAACTCTTTAGGGGTTGTAGGGTTTGTCACCCACCATTTCTGGATCTCCGTGCCGCAGGGTTTGGAAGTTGCATTTGCACGGTGAGCGGTTAGTGAGGGGGGAAGATTTCTCATCAGATTGTTGTTTCTATCACAAGGCAAGGGCTAATGCTTCACCCGCTCAAGAGATCTGTGTCCGGCTGGATACAGATTCCCCCAACATACACCCCAACGCTCATGGCAATGGATGGTACATTTGTAATCTTAGGCTTGTGACTTGTCCAAGTTCAAAGGACCATACACTGACTACAGTCTACAGTGACTGAATGGTCTGATGGCCGTCCCATATCTCTGCTCGAGGATCACTGGTGATGGATTTGCAGCATGGGAACTTAGCTTCACAAATCAGATCAATGAGTCACTCTGCTGGATTGGTGTCAAGAGAAGAAAATTGTGTGTCGGACCTGTCGGTGAAATTGGAATCCTCCTTTTTCACCATTCACGACAAACGATCAGTCTTGTGACTCGTTGGTAAGATGCATCTACTGTGACTGAATGATTTGACTGGCGTCGAATCAACGAGCGAATCTGCCCGGTTCCTGTCAGGAGAAGAGAAGAATTGCGCATCAATGGTATGATGGAATTGCCACCATGCACGATAACAGAAGACAGGTCCGCCATGTGACTTGTCTGAAGGTGGATATATGCTGTGAGAGGACGACTTCATCTGCGCCTCTGTATAGCAAGACCCAGCAAGGCGGCTGGTATGAGAAGTGGTCCACCATTGGCTGACCTATCCCAGTCGCCTCGTACTAGTTATGGGTTCTCTCGGTTCTCTTCAAATCACCAAGATTGCACTCCTTTTCAGCTCTCTTCAAGTCACCAAGATCGATGGCGGCCAGGTGACTAATATTATAATAATTTGGCCAGTTGTGTGTGTCAATCTTGTGTCGGCTGATCTGTGATGCCAAGCTTAACTATATGTTCATAATACTTCGTATCAACTGTGATTCCGGCTCCTGCTTGGGCACGTGCTGCCTCCAGATCGCTCTCGAGTCAGCAGCTGTATTCTGCATACCAAGGCCCTTCAGTTTGGGCCCTGATGGACTGGGCCACAAGCAGGGAACGTTGAGCGTGGAATGGTGATATGAATGCACTCTTCAAATGGTCTTCAAATGGGATAGGTACAACTTTTCTTGACCCTCTGCACAGATAAGACCAAGAATACTGCCTGAACCTGGCTTGGAGGTTTTTTATTTTTCTCAGTGAGTTATATATAATGAACCCAGTCTGGAGGAAACTCGTCAAGTATCGAGGCACAAGATAACTTAGCGCTGATTCGCTGGAAAAAAAAAAAAAAAAAAAAAAAAAAAAAAAAAAAATCCCACGATGAGGTAGTGCAAATTTGGTCACAATTTTGCAAGGTTTTTGACTTGAACACTTGAAATTTGAATGCATGGGGCTATATTGTACTGTTTGCCACTTTGCAATGTTTGCAACTTTGCATCCCTTTTTTTTTTTCAGGATGAATTTGCATCCTGTTTTGGCCTCATGCGTTGAAGACTAACTGAGCAAAAGTTAATCCATGCGCAACTTTAGTGACGTCAACCAGATAAAAAATGGACCACTTACAACGAGACATAGCGGGGATGCGGCTATTATATATACTAGCGTAGTGCCCGCGGTGCGGACGGTGCGGCCTACACCTGCAACCAAAAAGCGGGAAACAACATGCCCACAGGGAAACAACACGCCCACCAGGAAACAAAAAGAAAAGAAAAAAAGAAACGACAAAATGACACACCCACCGACACACCCACCGACACACCCATCGACACACCCACCGACACACCCACCGACACATCCACCGGGAAACAACAAGAAAAGAAAAAAACAAAAAGTGGGAAAAAAAAGAAAAAAAAAGAGGAACGACACGCCGACCACGAAACAAAAAGAAAAGCAAAAACAAAAAGCGGGAAACGACAGGCCAAAAACGAAAATGCTAAAAGAAAAAAAGGCCGCCCGCTTATCGACGGCAGCGGCTTCAAGATATTCCCTCACATCTACGCCCGCCGCCGCCCGGTCCCGTGGGCGCGCTCACTCATTTAATGGCGCGCTGTGAACATTTCGGTACGCGCGCCCCTCTGCACACTCCCCCGCCCTGGATCGCCTTCATCCGCCGGCCCTCCT